GCATTTGCTATCGCTTAAAATGTTTCTCGAACGCCTTTACTTCCCTTAGAGAGTGAATACTGAGCAAATTTGAACGTCAGCAGGAATGCCCAGGCCATTGGTGTGAAAGTTATAGTGTTAGTGAGATGTACAATGGTGAGGCCCCGGAGAGAGTGGACGCCTTTTCTACTACTCAGACTAATTCTGGGTGCCTCAGCTTCTCGTAAAGTACAGGGGAACTTTTAGCTTGCTTACATGCTGAAAATCGAGGATTTGGCTCCACCATTGGATATTCAACTCCTACAGTTTATTAATATTCGTTTCAATGGTAAATGGTACTAATACATACTGGAGTGAAAGAAACCGCCACCAACTTACTTCCGGACAAGGAGGAATCATTTTGCTAGCGATTAGCTGCTGTTGGCGTTTTCTACTATCCAGACTGCCTTTGGATGCCTTAGCTTCTCGAAAAGTACCGGGGACTTCGATTTAATTTTGGTGAAAACCGAGCCTCCAGACTGCTTACTTCACTCCCTAACTAACCTCATCTCACGGGCCTGTCAAAAAGAAATTTACTGACACAGCACATTTTGTCAGGATTTTAAATGGCAGTCAAAACTGCCCGGAACTCAAGATTTCATGATAGTGATAATACTGGGCTACTCTTTCTGGGATATTCCTAAATGCAATGCGCAACAATGCTAGACTCTTCGAACCTAAACTACGTAGTTCGAACCATTACTCTTTCGATATGTTTGAGCTACTCCTTCGAAACTACCCGAGGTATATACGGCGTTTATCAACATCAACTAAACAAATAACAAGCTCCGCCGATCAGATTTTACCTTTCCATGTAGATGCAATAAAATCATCTGATGAGAGTGTGATTGCTTATCTGGTCATGAAAAGACTCTAATCACCTCAAACTCCGCTACTCTTCCTTCAAATATACATAGCTTCCGCTTGAGCAAAACCATGGAATTAATGAGATTCTCATAATTAAGAATGGAGAAGTTGCCAGCAGCATGACTGGCAAAATGAAGTAATGCGACAGTAATACAAAAGCTAGCCAAAAATTAAAGAAAAGAACACGAACTGGCATGTTTTAGTTTTGATATTCATCGCGTATTTTCGAATAATAACATAAAGCATAACGGCAAGATTAAAAGCGCATGCAAAAGCGAGGAGTGAAAAAAGATGGTGTTTTGGATGTAAATAGTAGCCAATCGGATTGAACACTACCAATAAACGATCAACGCTGTTCAACATAAGCATCAGTGAAATAATCTGGAAGCAAAATAGTTCGAAATAACTCGCAACCTGCAAAATAAAATATGCGTAGAGGTTTTGCTTCAACCAATAAATAGAAGTTAAAAATCCTCTCTGTATTTGGACTAAAAACTGAAAAACTGAAGCATTTGGAAATAGCTTGATCGATACTAGAGCTGATGGGTTTAACTTCCTGGAATGCATCGGGTTACCATCTGCTTGATAAAGCAAAGAGACTCACCTCGCCTAAGCAGTTCCACGGTAGATTAGCATGAACCGCAGAATTAACAGAATTATATCGGCAG